CTCGTTCTCTTTCTCACTCCTCGTCAACGTAAAAGTTGCTCAGAATACTGACCGTGACGCTGTAGGAGGAGACGAGCGGCCGCGAGTAGGGTCGCCGGGTCGTGTAGAAGTCGCTCTCGTAAACCATGATTGAAGCTGGGGAGGAACTGGTGTCTAACTGGTACTAGTTCGTCGGTCTACGATTCTTCGAGCGTCGTCGAGTACCGCGCGATTCAACCTCTGCCTGTTACTCTGGTCGGCCGAAAAGTCGGGCTCTTCGTGTGTATTTTCGTGCGCGCGTGCGAGGGGAGAGGATACGCGACGATACGGCCGCGGTGGAGGTTCGTACGGTTCTGTTCAGCTTCCTCGATCGCAACACCTTTTCTTCTTCGTCCGAACTTTCCTCACTCGTCGCCCGCCCCCGTCCGTCTATCCGTCCGTCCGCCGTGACCCTCTTCACCACGAATATCCTATCATTCGCTCATCCTCACCACACCCACGCGCACGAGTCATTCTCGGGGAGGATGCTGCCTTATTCCCCTCGACCCCCGCGAGTAGGTGCATTCGGGAAAAAAATAGAATTGTGTTAAGGTTGCGGGCGGCCACCCCCGTCACCGCAATCCCCACAAACGTTAGCCAATCGTTCGGATGAAAACGAATCGTTATCAGACTCGCGACGATTTGCACAATTTGAACGACGCGCATTACATGCTCTCCGGAGAACTTCTATGGAGACAAAAAAGTAGGGCGTAGAAATGGCAAATGTAAATTTGCAAGAGAACAAATTCATATAAATTAGAACTGGTGCGGAAGGAGAGCTTTAAGAATGAAATCTAGCACGCGTCTAGGACAACAGTACCTAAATATATTTGGAAATTAAAAAATATTTTATTTTGATCAATATTTTTCAATAATTTTGCTTCTATCCCGCGATGCTAAGTCTCTTTGATATTCATATCTTGCGTGCGTCCCGTTTATTATCCGAAACCTCATTTTGAGCCTGATCTCATCGACGGAAAAATATACTTTTCTACAGGCGATATTCTTAGAATGAAAGACGGCCTCACATTCCGAAGCTGGACAATCGTGTCAAGGTATCTCAGAAATCCAAAAGTTTTTGTTGAATACAAATCGCCTCCACTTGTCATGTCGCACAATTTATTGCACTTATATATATATATATATATATATATATATATATATATATATATATATATATATATA